GAATACACTTTTATTTCTATACTGTGTTTGTTTTTTGTTTTTTTCCCACCAGTATTCAGTCTATATAGAGCAGGGTGCCCAGTTGTTGTAGAACTACAACTCCCATGATGCTTTAGTAAGCTGTAGTTTTTAAAACATCTGAGCATCTACCTTTTGGGCACGTGGCATAGAGCTATTCGTTGCTAAACTGAATGCATAAACCTTTCTTCCCGTGATATAATATTTGACATGCCACAATCCGTGGTGTGTGATGCTGCATGACAGATGATCATACATCCACTCATGTCCTTTGCAACATATGCTGATTACTTCCATATCACAATGCATAGAATATGTTTTAGAACGCGCGCAGGTGGTTACAAGATAGTAGATTACTATTTTAATATAACAAAAAAATGGCAATTAAGTGATGAAAAATAACCTTTAAATAAAGCTTTAACTCTTTGATAGCTTGATTTAGTGATTTATTTTTTTCCGCCACCCTCCCCCAACGATTTAGTCTGCTTGAATTCGTTGATGTTCTACTCCAGATGTATTTCATGTCAGAGGACGTGCAGCCCTGGTGATTTTAAATAGTGGGAAATATACAGAGACTATAAGTAGGGGAAAGTTTACAACTTCAGCAGAGAAATAACGGGGACACACTTAAAGGGACACACTAAGCAATATAACCTCTACAGATCGGTTTAGTGGATATGCTGTCTACACTGCAGGCTTCCCCAAGCTCCGGCCTTCCAAATGTTGCTGAACTACAACTTGCATGATTCTCAGCCTACCTATTTCATTCATAGAAAAATGGGAGTTGTAGTTCAGCAACATCTGGAGGGCTGGAGTTTGGGGAAGCCTGGTCTACAGTGTCTTGGTGCTGATCCTCCACTTAATGCCAAACTATTTGAAAATGATTTGACATAAACTGGTTTCCTTCCCAGTGACTGAAGACTGCTCCTCTTTAGTTGAATTAACAATGCAGAATTAACATTTCAGCATTATCAATGCTAATAGTGGTTAACCTGGAAAGCAGCGATTATCTGATAGTGCCATAGTCTGGTTAATTCAGCATTCTCATTCAGTAAATGCAAAATTAAAACTGATACAGTGGAAGTAAAAATTTCACTTTATCAATGAATACACAAAAGGGTGCAATTACTGCAAAGAACTGCTTCTTATATCAATTCATCCATAACTGGTTTGGTATAACAGTGGAAAATTGCACCAGGGCACAGAGGCCTAATAGAGAATCCACAGGTTCAGCAGGTAGGGATGCATTGTGCAGTTTATTAAAGAAAGAAATGCAAAACAATACAAAGGTTCGGCCCAATGGCCTTAATTCTGCATGGTACATGATTATGATACATGATTGAGGCCACTGGGCCGAAATTTTTTTTTATTTTTTTTGACTCTTTCTTCAATAATTTGCAAAAGTATCCTATATTTTGAACTTGCGGATTCTCGATTGGATATTATTATTTGTAGGTTGCGGGCTTCCACCACAAAGTACCAAGGGGTGCATTGGTTCAAACACTTGTTCTCCAGGAGTGCCACACCACTCTGTTTGTTTGTTTTGAATTTTCATTGCTACATAAACCTGCACTAGTTATGCTGCCAAAAGTGTCGTCTTAAATGCTGGAAACTGTTGGCAACATAACTAGTGCAGGTGTCTGTAGTAGTTACAGAGACATGTCCTGCACTAGTTATAGTGGAAAATTGTTTTTTTGGATTACCCGGTTCTTTAAAGATTGTAGATTATGCTAACGCAGTGTACCTATAATTTTAATTTTATTAAGTACAGTAGGCGAATATTTTGCACTAAGCTCTCTTTAGTAAACTCCAGCAGCACAGATTTAACAATAAAGTTTAGTGGAAAACCAAACAAACATGGGTATAAAAGGCCCCTTCCCTTTATCTCTTCCTCTTCCTTTGATGCGATATAACAAGAAATGCATCATTAAAATAGAATAAACAATAACAATGAGGGTTCAGACTGTAAACGATCCGAATCCCGAATGTTGGGTTTTTCGAAGAGTGCGAAGACAATCCCATGTATTGATCCATGAAGGTGAATCAAACTGAAAAGAAACAATGTCATGAAAAGGACTTGGAATTGAACTGTTTGTCATATATACATTAATATAAACTTAAATTTTATTTAAAAGTAATCTTAAGTAAAATAATTACAAATCTCAATATATGTAACAATAATTAAAACGCCTAATAACCCAATACACACACCTCGAATGTATTCAGATCTTTATTAAAGTCAAAGAACAATGAGTCACATAAACAGGGAGGGGAAAAAGAAGAGTGGGAAAATATTTGCTTACTGTCCTTAAAAAAATTAAGATTATAGGTACACTACGTTGGAATATTCTACAATTTGATAACCTGATAGAAGGCTTCATATTTTGCATTTTTAAAGCTGTGGAAGAAACAAAAGATGCATGAGAAACCTGATGGAAATGAGACACGGAATGTACCTTCTCTAGTCCAGTCCGCGGATCACAAAATGATGGTAAGCGAGGCACCCGCCGACAAAGCCCTCAACGCGGCTGCGCCCCAAACCGAGTGTTCGCCAAAACAAGAGTCTATGTCTGCCAAAGATAGCAACCAGGGAAATCCTCTCACTAGAGTGGTGGACGTGACCGGATGATGTTTAGCAAATGAAATAAGAAGTTGTCCCGATGGGGATGTCTGTAGAGGAGCGGTACGGTCCACATATTGCAGTAACGTGTCCACCACGCAGAGGCGAGGGACAGCCCTAAAAAAAGGGATATTAGACGGAAGTGGAGTCTGTATTAGTCCGACAGGAAATAGAAAATGACACTCCTTCTGGAGTGAAGGAAAACGGACCACGTCGAACACTTGCACGTCTGCAATCCATTGCAAAGACAATTCCGTATTGTCTGGCCAGTCTCAAAAAAAACTTAAAACTAGATCTATGTCCCACATACGTGAGTATTTGGGAGCAGGTAGTCTAGATAATCAAATTCCCCTCAGAAGGCGACAGACCAGAGGATTCTGGTCGGTAGGAGTGCCCTGTGGGGGAACATAAACCATCGAGACAGCCGAACGTGTCACGTTGATAGAATGATACGACATGCCCGACGAAAAAAGATGGGATTAGAAATTCACTATGGTGGTAACAGGTGCAGTAAAGTGATTAAGATCCCTCTCCAGACAGGCAACGTCCCTTCAGTGTCAAGAGAACTAGTCTGTCACGAGATTGTTGGTTCCTGGTAAGTACTCTGCTCGTAGACTGATGTTGCAGGGTAAGCAGAATCGATATATGTCCTATGTTGCCTCCATAAGGTCCCGGGACCGGGCTCGACACAAGTGGTTTGTGTATCGAACCGCTGATATGTTGTCCATGCAGAGGAGTATGCGACAATTTGAGACATCTTTGGCCAGATGCAAATCACGAATAAGCCTATCCGTTCCAGTCAGTTTATGTAGAGATTTGTCTCCTCTTTGGCCTACGGTCCACCTGTGGAAGCGTGTATGTAGTTGGTACTCCACCCCTTAGATTCGCGTCTGATTCCTCTATGAAAACCGGCATGAGTCTGAAAATCGCTCTGCCATTCCACGCCTGCATGTGAAGTAACCACTAGTGGAGTTCGGTCCGTACTTTGGGTGTAACTGGTATCCAATGGTTGTAAGAGCGAAGACGCATTTGGTCGAGTCGATCTCGAATTCCAGGCATTGTATCACCTGAGAATGCGTTAGAGCTGATTTCTCCTTGTTCACAATGAATCCCAGTGATTCCAGAAAGTACACAATGAATTCCATCTGTGAGCGCAGTCTGGAGATGGAATCGCAAAAGATTCTATGCTTATTTTGCTGGGCCACTAGGTCCAAAATTAGACTACATGACAACATGGGAGAGCGAGCTGAACGAAACTTTCACAGTTAAGGAATGGCATAAGATCTTGTTAGCTTTGCAAAGAGTCACACAATCAACTGCCCTGTTATAGTCCCATTATAAACTAGTATGCAGGTGGTACTTAACTCCCTCTTTTCAATTTCAAACTATTAAATACGAACAAATGCTGGAGGGAATGTGGACAGGTAGGCACACACTTCATCATATCTTTTGGCCATGTCCAAAACTCACACAATATTGGAAAGATATACACACATTAATTGGAATCCTTACCACTTTAATTCCAACTTTATCAAACACAATGTGTCTCCTGAAGAAACTCCCGGATAGGTTACCCAAAGCTACGGAAATTATAATAAGTCATATCCTGAGCTCAGCAACCTCAGCCACACCTCGATACTGGAAATCGGACACTATTCCTTCTATGGCTGAGGTGTTAAACAATATAATGGAGATCAAGAGGTGTGAATTGGCCATTAGAGCACCCTCATACACTCTGGAAAGGTATGAATGGGGACTCTGGGAGCGGGACGTCAGAAAAAAGGTATTCACTTTAATACTTACCTCACTTGACCAGACACCAATACAGGAAGATATCCACTATAATTTTATTTTCTTTCTTTTTAAAAAAAACCAAAACAAAACAGGATACAGCAGATCTGAGATCTTTTTTTTATTGTTGTTTGATATAATACATAATTGACATGTTTATAACACAAACTATTTCTTCTATATTTGCAATTAATACTGGAAACATTTACTCGTTGTATTCCCCAGTTATATCATTTTTGTTTTAAGTTTATTTGTAATTCATACAGTGTGATTGTCATTATTGTTATTGAATAACTTTTAATACTAATAAAAAAAAACACTTGAAAAGGAATCGCAAAAGATCAATATGTCATCCAGGTAGACCAGAAATCGCATACCTTGGGATTGTAGGTGAGCCATTGCTGGTTTCAGAAGCTTGATGAGGTACCATGGTGCTGAGCTGAGGCAGACATGTGTATTGATGAGGTACCATGGTGCTGAGCTGAGGCAGACATGTGAATAGGCAATCTCAGGAAGCGTCTGCTCTCTGGTGCCATGGGGATGGAGATATAGGCGTCCTTCAGATCTAGACGGGTAAACCAGTCGTTGGCCAGTAGGAGATCACTTAACCGATAAATACCTTCCATTTTGAAATGGCGGTATACTACAAAGGCATGCAGGCGACGTAAATTGATGACTGGGCGGTAGTCTCCTGTCTCTTTCTTGACCACAAATAAATTGCTGAAGAAACCTGTCCTGTCTGTAACCACTTGGACTGCTCCTTTGACGTACCAGGCATGGGTGTCTTTGCCCATGAGCGACCTGTGGGTTGCTGCCACTCTTAAAGGAAAGGGACATCTGACCTGTGTCTGTGTCGAGTGTCTGGGACCAGTGTGCCAGAAGTGGATGGCGGCATGGCCCCTCTGCTGACCAGCCCTGTCAAAAACACCCCTGCCAAGGTTAGGGCGAAACACTTGTCTCAATGATGAGTGGGCTTTGTTGAGAGTGGTGAAAAGGTTCACAAGCTTTTTAAGTTCAGCGATGAAAGGTTCACCAAACAAAAAAACATTTGCCAATGGTCCTATTTCTCTCTTCCCCATATAGGGGGTTTACCCCATACAATTCCAGTTTTGTGGTAGCGAACTAGTATCCAGTTATGTTGAGGTTTGTATTCCTGTAGTGTCCTTTGCCAGAATAGTGTGTTACTGTGTGGGTCACCGGGCAAGCCAGTAGGTCCTTGATGTTATGTAACAGACATATGGATAGTGATCAAGTACTGATATAACATAACTGTCATGCATAGGGGTTAATGTATCACGCTCTGATCAACCTAAAATGGCCGCCAAGGATGTTGCGAGAATTCACAAGATCCAAGATGGCCACCGTTTGCGCCAAAATTTCAGATGGGTAGACCACAAAAACGCGGTCTCGTCGGCCCGTAAAATTATTGCGTCTGTATCCCCACAACCCAGAGCACCCACCCAGACCTGACGAGTCCAGGATAAACAGGAAAAACCAGAGGAAGGGTGGGAGAAGAAAGATAAACAATATACAGGGGTGGAAGAGATAGATACATGCATACAATAAGGCTATAAAAAGTATCACTTATAGACAATGTTAAGCAATAGTATAGTAATAAGATATGAAGAAACAAAATACTCTGATCTGTGCCAGCAGGAGCAGCAAAGAAAGAGGAAGAGATAAAGAGAGAGGGGTCTTTTATACCCTGTAGCAATATGTTTTGTTTTCCACTAAACTTTATTGTTAAATTTGTGCTGCTGGAGTTTAGTGAAAATAGTTTAATGCAAAATATGAAGCCTCCTGTCATGTTCTAAAATTAGCTTTTACCATGGCATTTAATTGTCATACGCCCAAAAAGCTTAATGGGCAACAAGTGTCAGAGTGCACGAGAAAAAATACTACCATACCTTTTATTTTATTTCCTGAGATGTTTTATTGGGCATAAAACTGACTGAACGCGAAGCAAGTAAGCAAGTAAGTAAACACTAGCGTTTACCAAAAAACACTAATCTGCACACAAAATACAAAAAAATTTTTAAAAAATAAAAGGGACATCACTCCTGCTTGTTGTGTCCCTTTAAATGTCAGTTCCTCAAGGGAAAGAAAAAAAATATATCTAGAGAAGTATATGCTTAAAGTCTGGTCTCCCGAATACACACAATATATAAAGCCACAAAGAAGAATGTTTTATGAAGTTAGTAACCAAAATTTGAATTTTTTACGTTCTAATAATTGTAAAAACTTTGTATGCAGACTTGTGCATTCTGTATCAAATGAATTGGGATTTGTCAA